CAAGGCTTAAATTTTTTCTTCAATTCTTTCAGCTTGAGAAATGCTGTCCGTATTCTTCCCTTTTGATTTTCAAACTCCAGGTCTTTGCACTTTTCATTATAGCAATGTAGTAGAGGGGAAAAATTAAATTAAAAAAGAAATGCTTTTACATCCTTCAAATCTTCAGAGTAACTGTTCAATAAATTTTAGAATGTTGCTATGTGACATACAAAATAGACGCTCACAGAGGTTATGAAATGTGACTTTTCTAAGCGAAAGGACAGAATTGTTTTGAGCTTTAAAATGAATACCAATTTCAAGTACCTCATCTATAGCAGGCACTCGATACTCATGTTATGAAAGAATGAATATTTATGGACCTGGTGGCACATTGGTTAAGTGCTCGGCTGCTAACCGAAAGGTTGCTGGTTCAAACCCACCAGTTGCTTCATGGGAGAAAGATGAAGCAGTTTGCTTCTGTTAAGATACAACCTTGACAAAAGACAAGCATATGAGTGGAACATTTACCTGAGGGAGATATACTCCTTGGAGAGAACAATCATGGGAGAAAGAAGGGCTGCTTATGCACTGGGAGACAGTTCAGGGGGCAGGAGGGCATGGAAGGATGGACACGAGGAAGAGGTAATTATCGGGAAGAAGTAGGAGCAGAGCTGTTGCATTGTGGTAAATTGTAGTCAATGTCCTGAGACAAAGTGTATGTGAACTGCCGTATGGAAAGGGAATTTGCTCTGTAAATCTTCACCCAAATTACAATAAAAAGAAAAATAAAAGTAATTTTTTTAAAAAAATTACATTCTTAAAAACCCTACTCTGTTTTACAGGGTCACTATGAGTCGGAATTGACTTGGCAGCAGTGGGTCTTCTAAATTGAGAAACCAACAGCTCAGAGTAACAAGATATATAGCAACTGGATCAACAAAACAAAAACAGTTCCCTAAATAAATTGTATTAAAAATGATTTAACCACTATCAATGACATTGAAATAAACCACTCAACTTCTACAGTATCCAACATAATTTTAGCCTTTGTCCATCCATATCTGTACTATGGCCTTTCACCTAACCTTCTCTTCACAAATCATCCTATATTCTGCTGCCATATTAATCTTAAACAGATCCTTAAACCTATAGTGAATGAATAAGGCATTTGCAGGATGGGGCCAAATGATAGAGGGCCTTGAAAGTAACTGATATTGAGAAACAGCAAACTGTAATACCACGCTCCGTTTGTTTCACACACATATTCTTCCTAGGTAACTAAGAACTTCAGTGTTCAACCTTAGACTTAATTTTATCTGTAACATAAAAGGTACGACTTCTTTAGGGACCCAAAAATCTCAGGATGGGGATATACTAGATTAGGTCTTGTTGTTGTTGTTGTTATGTGCCGTCGAGTCGGACCCGACTCATAGCGACCCCTCCTTGGGTTTCAGAGGCAGTATCACTACAGAAGTAGATTGCCCCATCTTCCTTCCGAGGAGTGGCTGGTGGGTTTGAACCACCAGTCTTCTGGTTAGCAGTCAAGTGTCTTAGGCACTATGCTACCAGAGCTCCCAGAACAGGTCTTAGAGACCTGTAAACTCCAGAAACTGTTGGCAAACTTTGTACACATGTATATATGCAAATCTTCTGGCACCAGAAAGTTCATCAATTTTCTCAGATCCTCAACAAAGTCTATTATGCAAAAAACAAAACAATCCAAACAACAATAATAAACACAGTTAAGAATTACTGGACTAGAGGATCTTTGGCTAGTTGGGCTTCCTAATAATCCTCAAGAAAGATAATTAAGTTCTTTAATTAAGTATACATTGACCTGAACTAAGTATGAAATTTCTTAAGGACAGAAATCATATCATTTATATTCTTCACTGTAGAACTTAGTATAGAATGCCTACAAACTCAGTAAATTTCTTTACTGAGATATAAATAGATGTTGAAAACAGAATTGTATTTAACAGGTAATTCTGTTTTTCAAAGAGTATTTCTTGATGAGTACCCCATAACTACGCTTTCCTTTGTAAAACTATGGTAAAGAAAACAGTTTTGAAAGGAAAAAAAAAAGTTGTATTGTTAAATACCTAGTTACAGACATAATACAGAAATAACTAGACAATGGAGCATTAATACTGCTGTTTTAAAATATCATGTTATATAATTTAGAAATTAATGATGTAATTTGTTCAATGATGTGTTACTTAAGGAAAACAATGACATTGGTGTTAATTGCTGCTGAGTTGATGCAGACCCATAGTGACCCCATGGGTGCAGAGTAGAGACATTTCAGAAGCATATTGCCATGCCTTACTTCTTTGGTTCCTCTGGGTGGTTTTGAATCACAAACTTTTCAACTAGTAGTTGACTACTTAACCATTTTTACTACCTCTGGTTTGCTAACCAGAGGGCTGGTGGTTCAAACCCACTAGCCACTCCTCGTAAGGAAGGTTGGGCAATCTACTTCCATAGTGATATTGCCTCGGAAACCCAAGGAGGGGTCACTATAAGTCGGGTCGACTAGACTCGATGGCACATAACAACAACAACAACAACAAGGGACTCAAAACAATTACATAGGGAAGAAAACACTTAGAAACAATGAGATCATTGAACCAGTTCTAAATAGCCAGGAGAGGCAGTGTAACATACTGCAGAAGAACAGGGAATTTAGATTCACAGAACCTATGCTTGAGTTTCAACTGTGCCACTTTATTCCCTGTAACATGTTAAGCAACTGTCTCAGCCATATTAGTATTCTTATCTTTTTGGTCAGGAAGGTAGCTAACAGAAATAAATGAGAAACACACAAAGGATTGTTGAAAGGCATGAAGATGCATTGATTAAATTCCCAAAGTCTGGGACTAACAAAGATCAAACTGATAAAATGGCTGGACATCTCAGGATCTCCTCTTATTATTAGCAAAAAAAAGGTAAAAACTATTCCTTTTGAAACTAAATAACTGTACTAAGAAGCCAGTAATAAGCAAATGGGCAAAATAGGACAAAGTGTTTTGGAGTTTGATTTGTAAAGAGGATATAAAAGTTTTTGCTCCAATAACATAACCTTTTGTTAATCTAAACACTTTTTTCCAACTATAATTAAAAAGTAAATGGTACTACAAAAACTGGACAGATTTTAGTTTTAAGAACTTCTAAATGGACTGAGATAATAGCACAGAATTTTAAGAGTCAAAGACATAGCTGTATAATCATTTTAACTCTAGGAAGCCAAACTAGCTGACAAATAAAAATTCACATAATTCAGTATTTTCAATAAAATATTAGTGCCAAAACCTGTCCAAAATATCCATGTAGGCGTTTAAAAACATCTAAAAAATTCTCTACTCACTGCCATGGAGTCGATTCGGCTCATAGCAACCCCTCCTTGGGTTTCTGAGGCGGTATCTCTATGGAAATAGATTGCCCAATCTTCTTTCCAAGGAGTGGCTGGTGGGTTTGAACTGCCAGCCTTCTGGTTAGCAGTCAAATACCTTAGGCACTAAGCCACCAGAGCTCCAGTGAAGGAAAAGGGCATAAAAACAAATAACAAAAATACATAAACATGCTCAGTTGCAGTTATGTGCCACACATAATGCTAAGAATAAGGAATAGTGGACTTGTATTATTCTGCTTATTTATAAAACTCATAAACTTATCAAGAAAAAAAATGCCTCAACAAGTAATGAACAAAAATTAACAAAACAGGCAATTCTCTTACTTGGAAAGTCCTTTCCATCTGGATAGTAATATTCTGTGAATTCTATATACACCGCAGGCATTTCTTGAGGAAGATAAAGGGACTTTTTATTGCAGGAAATCATACTTTTAGGGGAAGCACGACATTGGTCCGCTGTAGAAACCTGAAAAAAGAATTGTATTTGTTGAAGTCACACTGAATAAAGCCTTTTCCAAGAATTTATGCAATGTGGACAACACTTGAAACTCTTTTAAACCTACTGACAATAAGTCACTTCTTGGCCATAGCCAGCTACCCGGAGGGAGCAAGTAGTTGAACCTGCGGGCTCAGGGCCATGGTTGCACAGGACATCAAGCTCAATTGGGATTAACATACTGCACAAAAACATTGTTCCACATCCTATATTGGTGAGTAGCAACTGGGATATTAAAAGCTTGCAAGCAACCATCTAGATGCAACGATAGGTCTCTCCTCATCCAGAGCAAAGAATGAAGAAAATCAAAGATGCATGGAAACAGTTAGTCCAAGGGACTGGTATACTATGCAATCCTCAGCCTATATGACTATGAGACCAGAAGAACTAGATGGTGCCTGGCTACTACTGTCAACCACTCTGAGGGAGATTTCTTAGGAGATCCTGAAAAGAGTGGGAGAACAATGTGGAAAAAAAAAACTCAAAATCATTTAAAAAAAAAAAAAGGCACCAGGTTTGTTGGTCCGATAAAGCCTGGTGGAACCACTGAGACTATGGCCCCTAGCTGCCCTCCAGGTCTGGAATTGAACCCACTCCTATGGCTTCCAGCCAAATAAAAGACAGGCACATGAGCTAAACATTTCCATTAGGCAGATACACTCCTTGGAGAGATCAATCATGGGAGAATAGAAAGGCTGTGTTTACACAGGGATACAGGAGTACATGGGAGGGAAGGACACAGTGAAGAGGTAACTATGGGAAGCTAGTGGGAGAGGAGCTGTTGCATTGTGAGAGATTGCAGTCAATGTCATGAGACAAAGTGTATGTGAACTGCTATATGGAAAATGAATTTGCTCTGTAAACTGTCACCTAAATAACAATAAAATTACAAAAAAGAAACCTATTTACAATGTGTTAATGATTATTTTCCAATGCAAACTTTATCATATATTTTACTTCACAGTAAATTATTTTTTAAATAATACTCATCAACTATTCAGAAAACTCTTATCACTTTGGATCCTTAAAAATCAACTGTGTACAATAATCCTTACAAATTTATTATTCTGAGCCTTAAAATAACAGAAGTGAAAAGAAATTTGTTTATATTTTTCTATGCAGCTGACCATTCCAAAAGTGTTTTAATAATGATACGTTATCTAGTAAATATAGAATCATTATTTATATATTTTATATTTACATATCCTAAAGTCATCAGAACAGGGAGTTATGTATTACTGTCATTTTTCAGATGAAGAAATAGGCTCAGATGGGTTAAATGACTTGTTGAAATTAATACACATTAGTTCTCATGGATAGCATGCATCGCCAATATGTTCTTTATAATAATCCCTTATGATAATTTCTCTATTATTATTAAAAATAATATAGTTGTAAACACTTCTGTCAAATATTTTGATTTCTTAATTTTTTTTAATTGCTACTATTAAGGCTCTTGTTATGTATCTTGTGTTTTTTCACTCTCCCTCTAAAACAGCTTAATACCCAAAAAGTATTTAACCAATACAGTTTTATCAATTTTATTGATTTATGCTACTTTAGTAAGCCCACAGCTGTGTCTTAAGATTATTATTTTTTCATTCATTCGACAAGCATGTATTTGTATTTCTCACATAAAATGGAAGTTTTTCAATGGTTTGTTTCCACTTGTATAAATTGCCTAATTACAAACCTTTTTATAACTCGTATAGGAGCTCTGGTAGCATAGTGGCTAAGGCACTTGACTGCTAACCAGAAGGCTGGCGGTTCAAACCCACTAGCCACTCCTCGGAAGGAAGATGGGGCAATCTACTTCTGTAGTGATACTGCCTTGGAAACCCAAGGAGGGGTTGCTATGAGTCGGGTCTGACTCAATGGCACATAACAACAACAAATAACAACATAGTATTTATAAACTTAAATCATCCCTTACACTATCTAGTTAAGATTTATTTTCATATATTGAAACAAATTCCTTTCCATTCAAAGCGTCAAGGTATTTTAAGGGACCACAGCTTATCTCCTTTTCATTTTATAATTTAACAATTATTCAAATTTGGATGAGCACACTATTTTATTTTATATCTTTTTGTCTTGCTTCTGATGTATTTGTGTATCTGGGGTTTCTTTAACGTAATTCTACTCATCCATTTGGGATTACGGGTGATTCCCATCTCTTATTTCCATATGGATTTATGTAAATCACATAGTTTTCTTTCTTTGGGGTATATATTGAATAACAAGAGAATCTTAATGTATTTCAGTTTTTCATTCCTATTTTGAATGTTTCTCTTTTGTTACTGTATCTTAGCTTGATACCTCCCTGGGAGGGAAAAGCATTTTGAGTAACATTCCTGACCTCTCTTTTTGTGCTCACTGACCCCTCCCTAGGAGCTCCTAGGGAGAAGTGAACTAATCTTCAGCATGCTCTGCCTGTTCACCTTTCTCCAGATCCTACCTCACCTCTCTATTTTTGTTTTTGAGATCTGCCAGTCTTCTCAAATACAGGCTGCGTCTCCATGCCATCTGAATGTTGACATGGGAAAGCCTTTATGCAAGAAGCCTGTAGCACTGCTAGGGACAATAATTGGAGAGTAAAGTATCTGTAAACCCACTTGGCCACAATCCTGAAATTATGTTCTCCATGCTGGCCTTTAGCTTTAAAAAGGTGCTACTTTTATCTGTCAGCCAGACTCCTACATCTACCTCTCGCTTGATTACAAACTCAAGAAAGACAGAAATGTGTTATTAGCCTAAACAACAATATGCTAGAATCCCATTGATTTTAATACATTATTTTATTATTAATTACTTTACTAATCTTTATTTCTAAGTATTGAGTGTTATGACCATGACTTTTTTTTTTTTTATTTTATTTTGATTTGGGTGAAGATTTACAGAGTAAATTCACTTTTCATACAGCAGTTCACATATATTTTGTCTCATGTCATTGACCAAAATTTACCACAATGCAACAGCTCCCCTCCCACTTCCTCCCCATAGTTACCTCTTCCCAGTGTCCATCCCTCCATACTCTCCTGCCCCCTGAACTGTCTCCCTGTGCATAAGTAGCCCTTCCTTCTCCCATGATTATTCTCTCCAGGGCATGTGTCTACATGAGGTAAATGTTTAACTCACATGCCTGTACTTTGTTTGGATGGAAACCACAGATGTGGGTTCCATTCCAGACCTGAAGGGCAGCTAGGGGCCATAGTCTCAGTGGTTCCACCAGGCTCTATTGGACCAGCAAACCTATGACCATGACTTTTGCAAAATGTTTCTTTATATCCTTTCTCCCTCACTTATTACTCATTTATTTTCCAACACTGCTATGTAGAATAGCAGTGCTAACAGAGAGCACTCTTATTTTGCTTCCTTTTTTAAGGGCAATTCCTCCAATTCTTCTTTAATGGAAATAGTGAAACTCCTGGTTTCAAATAAATACTCATTATTATGTTACTGAAAAACCTACAAGGAATGGATTTTATATTTTATTAAATGCTTTTTACCATATGTTGATAGAGTCACAACATTTTTTCTCTTCCTCGTTTTGATGTAGTATATTATTATTTTTAAGTATTTGTTTCTTTCATACCTAAAAATGTTGCTATTAAAGAAAAAATGATTTCATTTCTAACTCAATCCTTTAAAAACCATCACAAATGTGCCTAAAATTATAAATACGTATAATACAATCTGTTAAACATTCTAAGTTATAACAATATATTCCAACATAGAGGTGTAACAGAGAGCAATACATTTCAAACACAGGAAAGAGATTTAAGTCTTTCAATAAAATTACATATAGGATGTAGAGAAAGAAGTGATCGTTCAATAAGCAAATGACTATTAAATCTGAACCTCTCAAAATTAGCGCTATTGACACTGGGGCCAGATAACTGTTTGTTGTGGGAGCTGTCCTGTGTACTGAATCCCACTCTATCTTAGTCTGGAAGCTCCACCGAAACCTGTTCACAGTAACATGTGAGCCTCTGCTGACACACAGGTGATGGCTGCACAGGAAGTGTATTAGCTGGAAAGTGAACCCAGAACTCACATATGGGAGGCAAGAATATAAACCATAACAATTCATAAAACAGACTATAAATCTACAATGCTTTATTTCATTTTTTAAAATTTCAAAACCTATAAAAAATTTTAGTACTTAAGTCATATATTCTATTGTATTGGTCTCAACGACTTTGATATTAGACCATGTTACATGATTACAGCCTGTATAAAATCATTAATATAAACCCAAGAGAGTTCTTAGCGATAACATCATGTTCATAGAATATAATATGGTATGGTCAAGATTTGATAGTTTAATAAAACAAGAAAGGTATTTTAGTTTCTTCTTCTTAAGATAAGGGATAGACTAGATTAAAAGAAAAATGAACTGAAATTTCCTATCCTATCTAATTTGACCATTTCACAGAACTGGTCAAGACGTTTTTTAATAATATGGTGGTATTAACTCATAAGATTTGCTTGTAGGAGATACTAAGAATACCTATGAGATTAATTAAAAAACAAACAAAACTATACCTGGTATATATCGAAATCCGCAAGTCTAACCACAACAGAACTAGACATCAGCTTAGCTTTGGATTGTTCAGATAATACTGAAGGTGTTTTGGAAGTTCCTTTTAGAGCTGATTCTTTCTCTGTGGGAAACAAAAACTCTTTTCAATTTATTGCAAAATTATTTTTAATAGTCACTCTATTAAGACAGCTACAAGGAATACAGATGAACCTTAACTTCCCAAATGAGATAAACATGGAAATACACTTTAAAGGTGTTATAGGAAGGTAAATCATTGTGATGATTCTTCTTCTTTAACTAGGAATTATATTTATATCACATTTAAGACATTCTCCTGCAAGAAATTTTGGCTGGAATTCCTGTTAAAAGTGAGACGTTTACTGCCATTTAAGAATCTGAAAGATTCTACATGGGTATTACTATTGGTTGTACTAATTTTAAAAGTGGATTGGTCCATAAGTCTATGTTTCGCTGAATGAAAGGTGTAAGTATTTTAGACATTAATTATATTACTTATTCACAGAAAATATATTATGAAGCCTCCCCCCACACACATACACACTCAAATATTATAGGAATGCCATAATGTTGTTATGGATAAAGTACCTGTTTGTGTGTGATGGGGAGACGCATGTGTTGGGGATTTAGGAGGTGAACCTACATTATGATCCTTCACAGCCTGTTTAAGCATTTCAACATTGCATTCAAATTCATGTAACAACTCATTGGCCCATTCATTTTTTGTTTTGGTTGCATCACTGAAATACATCCAATGATTACAACTATCTCCTGTAAAATGAATAACAGATATTTCACTAAAAAATGTACAATTTTCACTTATTTTACCATAACAATGCTTCTAAAGAAATTGACTCATATTCTCAAGGGATTACTTTTTTTTTTTAAACCTTTATATACTACCAATTTTAATCTTCCTAGAAGATATGATTAAAACATTTAGAAATGAGGCAAAGAGTATAACAAGCAAATGATTTTTATCTAGAACCCTTTCCTCAAGCAGAGCTGATGCTCAACCTTCACTGGATGCTCAAGTACCTAGTAAACCTCCACTGGACAGAATCATAGAAAATACCAACAAAGAAATATCCTTTTCATCAAAGATTCATTGTAATGTGACTTACAAAAGTCTAAACCATAAAAATGATAAAATAAGGATTATCCAAACACTCAAGAAACCAATAAAACTTAATATGGTAATCATCAGTCATTAGGTAATAAATATATAGAAAAGTTTCTTGGAGGGAAAATACAAAACCAGGATTATTACATTTCTTTCTAACAGCTAAGAAAATGTACATAAAAGAGTTAACAAGAATCTTCTTTGTGACTTAAAATTTTACCTTCTAAAAAATATGAATGATTTTTACAGTAAAAATTGTTAAACTATATGTAACTTCTGGATTAGGAAGATAGGATATAAAATAAAGCCCTTTGAAAGACAACCACCACAACAAATTGTATAGCTATAAATTCTGTCAGGTACTGATAAAAAATGACAAACACCTGGAGGTAGAATTGTGTGAACAAAAAAATGTTATCAGTTATTAAAAATCCTGAAAAACCTAAATTATACTTATTTATTTTATATTTGTATGAGTATTTAAAAAAAAAAATTAAAATCCACACATCATCAAAATGTAGAGATTGAATGTAAGTTCAAATTTGACCATGGATATACAAGCTCTGGCGGTGCAGTGCCTAAGGCATTCGAATGCTAACCACAAGGCTGGAGGTTCAAACCCACCAGACACTCTGTGGAAGGAAGATGGGGCAATCTACTTCCGTAAAGATTTACCACTTTGGAAATCCAATGGAGGTTGCTGTAAGTCAGAATCAACTTGATGGCAGTGAGTGTTTTTTGCTATTTGGCAGAAAAAAAAGCTATCAATATTTGGTTGTTAAAGTGCCTATTAACTATTTATTGAAGAATATTAGCAAATATAGGTGAGTAAAATAAAAGAAATGCCTGGAATCCTACAGCCTAGCTAAAATCACTGTTAACATTTGCTTTATGTTCTTTTCTGATTTTAAAATAAATATATACTTTAAAACTTCACTGAAAAATACAGATTGATTAGTAACTTGTTTTTATCACAATTAACTAAATATTACAAATATATGTCCTCTGTATTCCAGTCTATTTTTTCTTCAAGTTTTAGATCAGTTACTTAGTAAATAGTCAATTTCTAACACTGGTAAAATGTTCCTAATAATCTACATAAGCTTCAATACAAATTTATTTATTTATTTTTTAAGGCAATTCTATTTTCTTGGTAGAAGTACTGCCAGGGGAAAAAGTAATAAAGATTTTTTAACATATTTTTCCTTAAAGAAAAAAAAAAAAATAGCTGTATGTATTTTTTCTTTTAGACAGCTTTATTGACATAAACTGTACATATTTAAAGGTACAATTTGATGTTCTGACATACATCCTAAAACCATCATCACCATCAGGAGAGGAACCGTATCTATCACCCCTGAAAGTTTCCTCATGTCCCTTTGTCATCTCTTTCTCCTGACCCTTTCTACTCTCCCATCCCCATGTAACAACTGATCTGTGACTACATAATTTAAAACAAATTATTATATACATACCTGCTTTGTGATAAGGATAATAATCTATAGTTAGCTGAGTAAAAGAGAGCTGCATAGCCCCTCCAGTAATACGTCTGTTTGACTCTGGGAAAAGAAAAGATGGAATTGAAAGAGAGAAGAAGAGAATGCTAATCAAATATCAGAAACCTCAATTTATCACAGAAAATCTTTACTATAGTTGGAGTCCAAATAGTAATAAATATTGTCAGTATTAAGAATGTTAGGTAATGCAAGTCAATCCAATAAATATTTATTGAGCCTCTATTATTTGTGACCATATGTCTGTCAGTTTGTCACACTGTGGTGGCTTGTGTGTTGCTGTGATGCTAGAAGCTATGCCACGAGTACGTCTGTTACCAGCAGGGTCACCCATCCTGGGCAGGTTTGCAGAACTTCCAGACCAACACAGACTAAAAGAAAAGCCTGCCTATCTTCCAAAAGCAGATCACCAGGCTTCTCTACCAAGGCACCCCTAGGGGGGTTTGAACCACCAAGCTTTTGGTTAGTAGTCCAATACTTAACTGTTAATGCCACCCAGGACTCCCCAAGGTCATGTAGCTACAGTAAAATCAAAAGTAGATCACAAGTTAATACAACTTCAATTTAAAAGTTACATTTTAAAACAGCATACATAAATCAACTAAAGGTGAGGACAACACAAATTAAGATTACTGTTGTTAGCTGTCACCGAGCTAGTTCCTACTCATGGTAACCTTACATATAACAGAACTGGCCTGTGCCATCTTCATGACTGTTGGTAGGTTACACTGTGTCAATTCATCTCACTAGGGTTTCCCTCATTTTTACTGACCCTCTACTTTACCAAAGATGATGTTCTTTTCTATAGCTATGGATACTCTCCCTACATTAATTAGTTAACTCCAATTAATCTCAATTGGTAGAATTTATAGTACAGGTCCACAATCCCTTATTTAGAACCTTTGGAGACAAATATATTTCAGAATTCAAAACATTTTATTAAGGTAATATGGTACATAGACAGTGTATCTTGCAATTCTTCCAGCAGGTTCTAAGGCAGCATTAAGTAATAAAAAATAGTATTTCTACAGCAAAACATATAAACGTTTATACTAAATGGATAAAACAAAAATAATAAATACATGTTCGGTCAGGTCAGGTTTCATCATCAAATGAGCTTTTTACAAACTTCTGAAAAACTCTTTTGTGAGCTTTCTGGATTTCAGAATAGCAGGTAAGTGATTACTATGAGAGATATTTTGGTGCAGAAGTTCTCCCCTTAAACACCATCATCGGCTTATCCATGGAGAAATAATAAAGAATAAGGAATGTAAAAGTGCTTAGACAACACTTCCGCTGCTCTGATGCTTAATACTTAACCTTGACCATTGCACTTTGTTATTTTGGTTTTAACTTTTTTTGATTTTCCCTTCAAATCACTAACGCAGAAGATGTCAACTATAAGCCAAACAACACAATGATGAACAAAGGAAAAGACAACAAATTCCTCTCAAACCCCAAATCTTCTTCACTCTCCCCCCTCCTCACTTTTATCTAATAGCTGGTATCTAGGTTGCCTTGTGTAATGAAGGCAGGGTAACTTCTTCTGCTAAACACAGAGTCTCAGTATCTCTCACTGTGCACCACAGTACACAGGTCAGGAATCTCTCCTTTTGAAAAGATCCTCAGCTTGATTCTCACGCTGACCAAAGTTTGAGAACCACTGTCCTAGTGGCAAGTCTACCACTGAACCTTCCCAACATCCGTGGGCCAGGCATACTTGCCAGCAGAGAGGCAGAAATGCCAAGCATCTAAGGTTAAGAAACCAGAGATTTTCAAAATGGTCAAGAGCAGCTATTGACTTGCCCCGTTACCTGATAATACGAAATAAGGAAAAATCAAATGCACAAAATCTAAAAAAAAAAAAAAAAAGTAAAATAAATAGCAAGCCTTCTGCTAAAGAGAGTGGCACAGAAAATGACTTTCACTGCTACTCAACACTCTACTAAAAAGGTAACAGTACAAGGACTTTTAAAGAGAATTAAACCATGAGACAAATAAAAATGTGTGAGACGCAAAGTGAAGACTGATGATAGTAATTTATTTAGTATAATCTCCAAATCAAAACATGATTAAGATAAGAACAAAAATTATAGGTCTAACTCTTTCATGATATAGATGGGAAAATCCCAAATAAAATATCGGCAATTCAAATCCAATCATATTTAAAATATATGTAATAGGATTAACACATGCCAATGAAGTTGGGTATATTCCAGAAATGTAATAATTTCCTAAATCTGATCAAGTGTATCTATCAACAACCTGTAGCAGATATTATACTTAGTATTATTTCCCCAAATCAGATATTAGATGCTGCTAATATCATTCCTATTTAGCATGTACTAAAAGTTCTAGACAAATAAGACAAGAAAATGAAATGAAAAATACTAAGGACTATAACATAGAAATAAAGTGGTCATTCACAGATAACATAATAAGTAGAAAATCCATATGAAAAGAGATTTGCCTCCAACCTCACAACATAGCCCCAGTTGGACTTTACAGGTAACGGGAAAGATAAAACAATAAAGTTTCTGAAAGATGATGTAAGTGAATATATTCATGATCTTAGAGTAGACCAGGAAATAAATTAACAATGAAGAAAACACTGATAAATTGTTTGCTATCATCGAGTCAGCCATCGACTCAGAGGAACCTCATGCACAATGGATCAGACTGCTGCGGTTCACAGGGTTTTCACAGGCAGATTTTCAGAATTAGACTGCCAGGCCTTTTTCCCAGTCTGTCTTCGTCTAGAAGCTCTGCTGAAACCTGTTCCATATCAGAGCAACATGCAAGCCTCCACTGACAGATGTGTGCGGGCTGTGCCTGAGGGGCATTGGCTGGGAATGCAAACGAGGTCAGCACAGGGAAGGTGAGAATTCTACCACTGAACATCCACTAAACCTTCGTCGGTAAATGAGACTATATTAAAACAAAAAACTTCCACTCATCAAAAGCTACTGTTACAAGAATAAAAAGGCAAGCCAGAATGGGAAAAATACATTATGCATATCCAATAGAGGACTCATATCCAGAAATATAAATCAACAGGGAAAAAAAATGGGCAAAATATCAGATACTTCACAGAAGAGGATATCTAAATGGTTGATAAATATATGAAAGGGGGCTCAACCTCTTCACACATCAGGGATATCCAAATTTAAATCTCAGTGGTATGCTACTATATTCTGAACAGAGTGACTAAAATTAAAATGACTAGCAACAACTGCAAAGTTAGCAAATAAATAAGAACCATGGAACTCCCAGTGCTGGTGAGAGTGTAAATTCAGCAGATTTACTAAAAAGGTTATTCTTACTCCATCAAGTCGATTCGACTCACAGAGAACCCTTCTTGGGTTTCTGAGGCGATATCTCTACGAAAGTAGATTGCCCAGTCATCCTTCTGAGGAGTGCCTGGTGGGTTTGAACCACCAGCCTTTAGGTCGGGGTAGTGTTTTATTTTAGATAGGGTCGCTATGAGTTGAAAATGACTCAATGGCCCCTAACTACAACAACAACTAAAAAAGAACACAATACTATGACCCAGCAATCTCACTTCTAGGTACGTACCTACAGGAAATGTGTGAAGATATTCACCAAAAGACACAGACAAGAACATTCACAGCAGTGCTATTCCTCCTAACCCCAAACTGGAAATAACTCAAATGTCCATAAATAGTAGAATGTATAAGTTATGGTCTGTTCACACAACAAAAGAACATACAGCAATGAAAACAAACTACCGCAGCATATAACAAAACAGGTGAATCTCACAAACAAAATGTTGAGTAAAGAAGCCGAACTCAAAAGAGCATACATATTATATGATTTCATGTATATTAAGTACAATCTATGGTGATAGAAATTAGAATAGTGATTACTTTTAGGAAGAATGGCAGAAATAAATGGGGGGTCCTTAGGGGTGCTGGTAATTTTTTTTAATTGATCTGGATGATGGTTACATAGGTTATTTTCACTTTATGAAAATTCATTGAACTATACACTGATAATTACACATCAATTCAAAGTATATAAAAAAAAAGAAGAAGAAGAAGAAGTCAGGTTCCCCCACCCTCACCTCATCCTCAGAGCACCAAGGCAACTACCTACTGCTACCCCAGTAGAAGTCTACAAGATTATTCTTTGAGGAGGATAAAAGAGAATCTTGAGCTGGTGGCACCAACTACAGTTGAGTGTAGGTATGCCTTACTGAAAGACGAAAGGAGTTAAGAAAGTCTACTTACAAAATGAACACTGAACCCACTCCCTTCTCCCCTAGTTCTCTTCCTTTTCTAGGATCCCAGATCACATGCCAGGCTCATATCCTCCAGGCAAGAGATTAGAAGACTCTTCCTTTAGTAAAGACAAAGAGAAAACGTCTCTTTCCCACCTCAATCCATGCAAAAAAGCACAGCAACATTATTCTAGACTATGACCAAGGCATACAACTCAACACTTAAGGAAGCTAGAATAAAATGAGAAAAAAAAAAAAAAAAAGTGTAAAATTCTTCAGGAAAATATAATCAGCTAGACTACTAATTACTAATGCAAGGATAAAATAAAAACACCTGTCATACATGCAATTTCTCCAAATTTACCTGCCAACACTCTTTTTTAAGATGATAATAGAAGAGGTGCTACACCAAAACAAGGGATAAATCCAACAAGGCATGGGATATAGATTATAGGGGATCCAATTTCCAAAAAGAGTAATGTCACAGAGTTGGAAAGGGCAATCCCAGAATGACAGCTCTGCTGCAGGTCTGGAGAGCAACTAGTCCACAATGGAATAAATCAGAGGCTCTAACAAAGACATGTCAAAAGTGTAGTTAAACAAATAGGTTCCTGAATGGAATTTAGCTTTCTAATCAAATATGAGGATGACTGAGGGAGAGGGTAGAAACAGGGCACATAGTTATGCACATTCAAGTAATGGAGATAATAGGAGTAACAGCGTGTTTATTTTCCATTGTGGGAAGTCAATAAATAATGTCCAAAGCTGAAAAATCAAGAACTGGAAAAATAAGCGTAATTACTTTGAGATATGAAAGTAAATATCAAAAGATAGCTTTTAAAAAAAATTCAAAGCAGATGCTTCTGGAGGAACGGTATATTGACAAGGGTGGAATAGGTATTAAAAGATATCAGAATAGTTAGGAGACTGCTATTTTTTATAATAAGCTTTGGGAACTATTTGCATCCCTAAACTCTATGTTTAAATTCTATTCCTTTATAACTGTACAAAAATATAACTTTGATAAACATAAAAAAATGTGTAATTATGAATTTATTAAAAAAATAAGTTAAATTGTGCTTTAAACTGTCCCTCAGACTTCACCTCTAGAACTGCAAACCCTTCTACAATGGTCCTAACTACCTGAAAAGCAGTATGATGCAATGGGAAAAACACCAGCCTAAAATTCAAGAGACCTACCTGGGTTCTATGTCCATCTCTAGGGTCTCACTTTATATTAATAGATGTGGCTTTATATATGAAAATAATGCTACAGGCCCACCATTAATAGCACACACATACACTCATCTGCTTCTATCAACCACAACCCCATTCACTTGGAACACATATACACACATAGTGCTGAAAGGTTTTTGTACTGAATTTTTTAAATGTAATCCTCATAATAAACAAATGTATGCATTGAGAGATTGCTGGCTGTGATTATGGATGTCATGCATGCTTGTAAAGAAGAGTTTTACAGCTTGTGTAAATCTGCCCTCATATCAATTCAAACAGACAAACTTGATTTACTAATAAATTGTTTAAACCAAATGAGCCAAATGGTCAAGATACAGCTTTTATGTTGAACAATGGTGACTGATTTTTTTTTTTAGCAGACAAATAATTTCGACTGCTCATTAGAACAGTAAATTTTATTTCTGGATTTTGCCTGAACAGGATCTACTGAGGAGCTGAGCAAAGTCAGTAAGTTTATTAGATTCAAATAATTAAAGAAAAAAAATGAATGTGAATGAAGCCATCCAATATAATCTCAGGTTGTGGAACATAGAGATTTTAGGAGCAAAATGAGAGGTGGTCAGGAATTTGGCCAGGAATTTGGAATTTTGGCCAGAAATATGTAGACTAATACAAGGCTGATAAAATATGTGTAAATATATTGATTATAAAGTAAAATTTAACTTATGGACAGTTTCAGTGTTATTGAGAAAGTTAATTCAGAGGCAAGTCTATTAATATTTCAGCATTCTCTAAGGGTGTTATCTACTCAATTCTTTATTTTTTTAATCCAGCAGTAAAATCTGTTTGCATTGATAGCTAACAACTGCTGAAGTGAAATTCTAACTTCTACAGCAAAGTGAAAGATTTCTTACCAAAATATAATGCTTTAAATTACATCTTTTATCTATGCATCAAGGAGGTGCAATGGTTAAACTCTCAGATGCAAACTGAAAAGTAAGCAGTTTGAACCCACTAGCTGCTCCACAGGAGAAAGATGTGGCAGTCTGCCTCCATAAAAATTACAGCCTTGGCAACCCTATGGGGCAGTTCTTTGTCCTTTAGGGGTGTTGAGTCCGAATAGATTCGACTGCAACGGGTTTCTGTGTTTGATCTATGTATCACACGTGAATGATAAAATTAGGACAAGTTATTTTGTAGTACATATTATATAAGATAAGCAATCCAATTTTATAGTCAAATCTAGATAAACCAAAATAGTTTGAAATACACAGATTTATTACCTTTTTCTTTAGCATGAATGTCATCACATATGTGTAGATCTAGATGAGAAATCACTAAATGATGGGAGGTTTCTTTAACATCAAAGTCACTGAATAGTTTCACAATTGCATCATTTAGATCAGGAGCATTTGAAGTCTGTGGTGTCTTCACTTGCTGGGTGGATGGCACTACAGTAGAACTCTAAAAAGATTAAAAACTGCCCTATCACTGCAAGTTAAGTACTTAAAATTTCACACAGAAGAAAACCTAAATATTTTCAATAAAAAAGTCACAAAAAGAAGCATAATACACTTTCTTCTTTATCAGTAACTCAGTTCCCCTACAATGGTTTCCGAATTATATAAGAATAAAACTAAAAGTTGAAAACTGAAAAACTATACATAATTTGAATACAAACCCAATGTTTCTGTAAATATTTGAATAGTTACATTTATGTATTCATAGCCCTCCTTGTTTTAGAAAATATATTAGTAAAGGCACGTTATTTATTAGTTATTTATTAGTTCTGTATACTAAAAGGTAAACAAATGTATGCCCCATATACATGAGCTGTACACACTGTTACATATCCTTTGGAAATAAATCACTTCTTTGTGGAAGAAGCCCTTGTGATATATTTAGTACTACAGGTTTTCTGAGGCCTCTCTTAAGTGGTATGATGTGTCCTTTGAACTTGGATTTCTGAAGAAGCCAAAAATCAAAGTACACGTATATATATTTATACATAGTATAGCTATTAAGATCTATGATCACACTGTAAAAGAATTTCAAAGTATACTTAATAAATAAGAATCTTTCAAAAAAAATTATTAAGACCCATAGTCATTAAAGAAAAAGAAAGATGATATAGCTGATATATAGCCATGAAAATTTCAATTCTAGGAACTGAAGCAAAACTTTAAAATTAACTATAAAATAAGGTGACTTCTATCAGAAAAATCACTTTTTTTCATGTTTTCTCCACCTACTTTCAAAGGCTTAACAGACTAGTATTTAGGTCTATGATGGTAATATTTTAAAAGAAAATGCTTTCTTGTATTTCATTAAGATACCTATCAATACAGCTAAAAACAGAAAAAATCTCCCTACAACCTTTTCTTAATACTGTAGTAGATTCAGGTTTCTGGATGCATTTCCAAAAAAAGATGGACCACTATAAGCTTCTTTGCCTCCTGAACAATTTAACATCTCTTACTTTTCAACTTAGTCTTTTCTTTCTTTTCTAGAAAAAAAAAGAAAAGGATGAGGCCAAGAAAATATTTCCAACAGAAGATAGCTGTCAATGGTACCTCGAAAATCAGGATGTTCTGTGTGAAACCAAAGTAATAATGTGGCAATTAAGCATCCAAGAAAGTAATTTTGGTATGCTTTCTTGCTGCATTTAAATTTTTTAAGTATACCAAGAAAGCATACCAAAATTACTTTCTTAGATATAATTTAAATATACCAATTAAAATAATTAAAATTTCTTTATATACATCAAATATGGTAATATTCAAATAGTTAAGTAAATTCACCATGAAATATTACAGAGAGACAAAAGTAATAATTAAATAGACTAACAATATGGGAAGAAAACTGTATATACCCCTTACTACAACTACAAAAAATGAAGATGTCTAGGCAAAAACCCTGTAAGGAAATACCTCAAAATGCTAAAAGTAGTTTTGCTGTGGTGGTATGATTATGAATATTTTCCTTGTTTTAGTTTTCTAATCTCTATATCTAATTTTCTAATTTATATTTCATTTTATATAAACATTAAAAAAAAAAAAAAAACCGCACTGCCATCAAGTCGGATCCGACTCATAGCAACCCCTCCTTGGGCAGTATCACTAAAGAAGTAGACTGCCCAACCGTCCTTCAGAGGAGTGGCTGGTGGGTTTGAATCACCAGCCTTCTGGTTAGCAGTCACATGCCATACGCACTATGCCATCAGAGCTCCCAATATAAACATTATCCACCTTATCCAACTATAATGTAAATAAGTTGTACTATCATCAACCCCTTGTGCATTAATTTTTAGATTCCACTACCATCTCTGTTAATGATGTCTTAAACTATAAAAATATTCACTGCTAACCAGGCTGGTCTATATAGTCTATTACGTGTTGATGGTAATACTGTAAAATGCTCTTGTACTTCTTTAATCATGTTTTCAACTCCAAAATGGAACTCATTATTATCTTTTCTTAGCTTAACCTCCCTTAATCAAACTTGCTTCCCTCTTCCGTATTCCTTTTCTTGGTTAATGAAGCACCAATTATCATTCCTAAAATTCCCAGCTATTGCCTCTTGACCTTATCTCCAATTGATAAGACTCAGTTTCTCCCCTCATTTTGGCTTGTTACTTCTTCTTTAACACATACATTAAACCATTAAGTGTGTACCTCCTCTAAAATGACAATATTTCTCTTCTTTAGTACATCTTCTACAATGCCACTACAGGCAGTTCCTGAGTGTCTTTGAGTCAAATGTGTACATAAATTAGACCAGTTAGGTACAGTTTGTATCCAATATCAGTAAGTCAAACATTTGTCTTAGTATCTAGTGCATATTTCTATATATAAAAACATTAAAGGAACACTTCTAGAACACTAAACACAAAACATTTTTAACATAATACAGCAATAATAATAATGTTTTGATGCACGTTGCAAAGTAGCATCCGTTTCTGTTTATGAACCATACTTGTACCTCTAATTTTTAATATAATGGGCTTTATGGGAGTTGATTCATTAACTACAGGTTGTTCATAAGTCAGATGTTTGTAACCTGGGGATTGCCTATATACCACATATGACTGATCTTTCCCTACTTAAAAATGTCCATTAGCTCCCAGATGCCTATGGGAAAAGTCCAAATTTCCCAACATATCTAATCTTCTTATCTGTGTACAGCATACTTTTGCTTCAACTCAGGTCACTTGCCCAAGAATGCCCTATATTGTAGTATTATAGTCTGTTCACTGAAGCTTTTTTCTCAGGTAACCCCTAAATAATTCTTAAAAGGCCTTATAGTATGAATATTCAGTATCAAGGAGCTCTGGTACTGTAGTGCCTAAGCCACTTGACTGCTAACCAGAAGGCTTGGCGGTTCAAACCCACCAGCGACTCCTCGGAAGGAAGGTTGGGCAATTTCCATAGTGATACTGAAACCCAAGAAGGGGTCGCTATGAGTTGGATCTGACTCCGTGGCACATAACAACAACAACAGCAACATTCGGTATCAATTCTATTTGTTTTTATGGCTATAAATTCTAAGAAACTTTTTTCACAGAAATAGGTAGGCTGGAATGAAAGGAGTTGTTTTAGCAATGTGACTTGATTCTTTAAATTCCTGCAAGTTACATGCCAGGATTCACAAGGTAATCTACTGCAAAAAACTATTTTTGACAAGCTGACAATTATTAGATCCTCCTTCAAATATCTTAAAGCAAGAACTAGAAATCACCTGATATGTTCCTCTGTCATTATAATCACTCACTTCCAACATGGACAATATTTCAAATAGCTTCTGTGACTTCTTACCAGGTTTTATTGCTTTGTTTTGTTGCAACTTCCTGTACAAATCCATCATAGTAAGACTAAGGATAAATAAAAGAATGCCTTTCATTTGCAAACTTGTTGTTGTTATGTGCCATAGAGTTGCCCCAACTCATAGCGACCCCTCCTTGTGTTTCTGAGGCTGTATCTCTATGGAAGTAGATGGCCCAATCTTCCTTCCGAGGAGTAGCTGGTGGGTTGGAGCTGCCAGCCTTGTGGTGAACAGTCAAGTGCCTTAGGCACTACATTACCAGAGCTCCTATTTGCAAAGTAGAGGAGTAATTATGAACAGGAAGAACCAGTCTGACATCTTTAGCATATTCTCAAGCAAGCCAAGTTTAAGAAAATGAAAGATGTGGAACTGTTTCCTTAAAGCTCTTCATGCTCTATGTCCCTTGGAAAGTTGTTAGCTAGCCTCACAGGCATGTGTATCTCACTCTCAAGATCACTGTTCTGGTGACAGCAAACTGCTTACCTTCATCAGAAAAGGCCATGCAATTTAACAACATCATACTTTTGCAGATTTTATTCCCTCTTCTGAAATATCCTTCCCCCGTGTCTGCCTGTGAACTTCTATTCATTTTTAAGACCTAATTTCATTATTTTCTTTGTGAAACCTTTCTGACTTCTGCAAGCAGTTAATTAAAATTTCTCTGTCCTTCTGCAATCTCCACTCCTTACTTTATACCTGGGATATATTATTTGTTTGCAAAGAAATACCTTCATAGAAGTATGATTTCACAATATTGCTTCAGCTTTTATCAGGGGTAGATAAACATAAATTCATCTGTGGTTTTAAAATTGTTTTTTTCAAAGATACCATCCATTGGAATTTTCAATGTCTCTCCTAAAAAGATCTTCATGTTAAAATCTCAGAGTTTAGTGCTTGCAAAGACTGAAAAAGCCTTTTTCCTCTTCAAGTAAACTATTAATGCTTCTAATTTTTAAGAACCAAAAAAAAAAAAAAAACCAAAAAACCCCACTCCCAACCAGTCAATTCTGACTCATAGTGACCCCCACCCTGGGTTTCCAAGGCTATAAATCTTTACTGAAGTAGACTGCCTCGTCTTCCTCCCAAGGAGCAGCTAGTGGTTTGAACTGCTGACCTTCTGATTAGCAGCCAAATGCCTTATGCACCGCACCACCAAACCTCCTTAATTTTTAAGAAAGTTATGATTAAATAGCTAATTATGCTGCCCTCCTTTTTGCCCCAGCATTGGAAAACTCTGAATCAGCAGTTCAGTGTTCAACTTTGGCACGTCCCCTTAGCCTTACTTTTTCTCCACTATTAATTCTCCTGCTGCCTCCCTTTCTGTAATCACTCAAGTTTTTTCTCCCTTTTAGGAGCCCTGGTAGCATAATGGCTAAGACACTTGACTGCTAACCAGAAGGCTGGTGGTTCAAACCTGCCAACCACTCCTTGGAAGGAAGATGGTTCAATCTACTTCCGTAGTGATACTGCCTCGGAAACCCAAGGAGGGGTCGCTATGAGTCGGGTCCGACTTGACGGCACATAACAACAACAACAACCATGTATTTAGTAGTTTTAAAACTTCTTAACTTCCTAAAAAATGGTTTTATAACATCAAATACTTTTATGTCATCATTAATTTCAGCACTTAATACAGAGCTCCAAATAAAATAAGCACTATATAGATACTAATATATTTAATATATATTTAATATATTTAAATATATTTAATAATATATTTAATATATATTTATACTATGTATACTATGTATACAAAATAATATGGTAAGATATCTAGTTAAAGAAGATTCTGGGACTCAAAGTCTTACAATCTATTTTACATAAAGGAAACACCAACTAACCATTCTGATTATTAAAGTATTTACATGTGAAATAAGTTTGTTTCTGTTTCCTGTTAACAGCATACCTGTGTAGGTTCAGAAGCCATACTCTTCCTTTGTTCTGTGGATTTTTCTATTGCTTCACTAAGAGATTTTGCATATTGTACCATGGCCTTCAACTGGGAATCCGTTAAAACCCATAGTAAGTCATCCAACAACAGGACTAACTTTGTGGCTACGACATTGCAGTCCTTCAACTATAAAGAAAAATAATTCATAACATTAAACCAAGAAGTAGTATTTACAATGTACTTGTATACAAAAAAAAATCTTTAAAATTTTTAAGAGAATTAAATATAGATCCTTCTTTCAACAAATATTTACTTAGTTCCTATAACATGGGAGGAATGATTCCTAGGACTGGAGATACAGTGGGAAAAAGACTGACAAATTCCTGTGTCATAACTAGCAGCAAGTTGTATAGCATTTATATAAGTAAGTACTATGTGCTCTAAGTACTTAAAAGTTAATTTCGGAGGCGGGGCAAGATGGCGGACTAGGCAGAAGGATTGCACAGACCCTCTTCAACAAAGAAAAGGGAAACCAATAAATACAGACACAGAAGATAATCTTGGACCCCTGAGCCTTGAAGGAAAGGAT